CAATTTTAAGGATTAATTTTTGCCTTAAGGTTGAATAAGAGATATCTGTAAGCTTAGAGGTTTCCAACTAATTTACTTTATTGGATTCTAATGACTGCCTTTTAACATCAGGGTAAATTTTTAAGCCGTTTCTATTTAAGAAAGAGAAATACTTTTAGGAAGGAATATGTAAGTAAAAAAAATCTTTTGTGTACATATTTAAGTAAAGATCTTTTGTGTGATTTTTACAAGGCCTGACAAATTTTATTTGTAAGCCAATTTATTGCAATAATTTGATGGTATTGATAACAGTTGTATCCAGTCCTATAGTGATTAGTGAGACTTTATTGTTTGAGGAGAAAATGGGGGGTTTCTTTTTGGAGGGATGGGGAGTCAGGGGAGATTCTGAATATTCTTTTTGAGCTTCATTCTTAGGTTTGTTGTGTCCTTGGGCAACCTTAAATGAGACTTCAAGAAAAAATGCCAGTACTTCAATGGGAATGACTTCTGAAATCTAAGACCAGTGGATATCTATCTATCCCTGGGAATAAGGTTAAGAGAGTGACCTTAAGAAAGCTAAGATTGGACTGTCTTAATTCATTTTCCCATATGACATATTTGCCCATTTGGTTCCATATACTTGGCTACTTATAATCATTCTGAGCCTTGAGCATAGGTGTTTAGGAACACTATTGATGTGCTAAATTCAGATCCCTGTTTTCTTCCTCTAATAGCAGATATCTCTGACCAGGGCAAGATAAGTTGTGGTTTTTTTATGATGAATCTCTTAACTGGTATCAATGTGAGATTATAGTCAATACTTGTTATCAAGGCAATGTGATCCTTGAGAACTGAATCTGCCCAAAGCTATGATTATTGGAACTTGCTATTTAAGATCTTATGGGACTAACTGATATTATTCTGAGTGTGACTCCAGGCATGATTGTCAAGGAGTGCTATTAAGCCACTGATCCTTGATGCCAGCAGTCCCATGGGGTTGACATCATTGAATTGCAGGTGGAGTTCTCATGGGAAAGGGTTGGGAGAAGGACTCATGGCATGAACTGAGGTAGAAGTCTTGTGACTTGATTTCCCCAGTATGATATTTCCTCTTGAATGGAAAATATCCCACCTGGCTGACTTTAAACCTGACTCAATGCCGTTGGTTACCTTGACTCTTGTGTGGAATTAATAAGAGAACATTTTCTCTTACTGTATAACTATGTCCTTGGTTCTTCTTTTATGGCAAATTTCTGTAAGCATGATAGGTGTTCAGTATAAACAATAATAGATCTTTATCTTTTAGGCTAACACTAGAGCACATCTGAGCTACTATAATGAGATACCCAATTAGATTAGCCTTATCAAAATAACCCCTAATAAGATACTGTAATAAGGTACAAGATCTGAGCTATTTAGCCCAAGAATTTTAGTCCTTTCTATAATTCTAAACAACTAAGTAGATGAGTATTTGGCCATGTCATCTGTCTGTTACTCACTCTATATTTGTGTATAAGATAAGGACCTCATTTTTCAAAACAATATAAGGTTAAGTGGGTATTGATACAACATTTTATGGGACCAAGCTATATTCTATAAATTTTTAAGGCTAGATCAGAAACATTTTCAGTTTTGTTTCAAGGAAAGAATTTTACTGCCATCAATTTCTTTAGAGAGTAAAATTTGTGGAATAGCTTGTGTTACCTAAATGGGAAAAGTCCATTTTATTTGGGTTTATTATTTAATTTGAAATTAGCACCTGGGTATTAAGTGTGTCTTGAAGTTCAAACATGTTTTATTGTAAACAACTTACTTGATATGCATGGTTTTTGAAACTGATCACTCAATGTATTTATATATCCCATTCCAGAGCCTTTTGTTACAATTGAAGTTAATATGGCAACTTTTAAATGAATTAATTTTTGTATTAGAGGTCATCATCTTATAAAAAAATGTTCCTTAGCAAAATCTCATTATCCTAAGGGGGAAATAAGTAAATAACTAGATTTTGGTTTTGGTGAAAATTTAATAATAATAAGATCAGATAATAATATATGTCAAATGTAAGAATTAGTTTCAAATTTTTTTGATTTTTCGGTTTATATTTGAATTTCCTAAATATATCAACATGATAATTTGCTAACCTATGTCACAAGGGAAATATAGGAAATAAACTGAAGTTCCTTCCCTTTCTGAAACTTGAATCTGAGGTGAAGTACAGAATAGATGACCACCAGCAGTTAAGTGATGGTAGAGTCTATGCCAATTTAAAAGGCACCTTGTAGTCTTTGCCGCTGTAACTATATTGGCAGATATCAAATTCATAACTAATAAGGCCTCATTCTATAAATCAGATCCTCATCGATTCTTTTTAGATTTTTTTTCAGCATGTTTTTGGCCGTATAAACATACCTAGCTTAGATAAGGATAGGAGCAGCAAGGATTATGGAAAAATATACATTCTCTGGTTCATAATTTAACGTTCTTTTAAGGTTTGAACTAGATCTTACTATTTGACTTGGTTATTAACAAAGCAAGCTTGAATTGTGTTGACCTTTTTTATAAGAGATTTTAACAGAACAAGGGAATCTCTACAACGGACCTAAACCTGAGGGACAAATCCACTAGGAACTCCTCTGAAACCCTACCTATTCCATAATGCCTAAGAGGAGACACCAGTGGACTACATTAGCAGATGTTCTCAGAAACCATACAGCTTTATGAGATGTCCAAGCCCTAAGATATGGACTAATGAATGGACAAATGGGAGTAGGGTACCCTTCCCTTTTTGCTTTCAATGAAAGGGACCCTTCCCTTTTTACTTTTTCCCTGTTTCCTTGTTTTGTGTAATTCCTGCTTGTTTACTTGACAGTGTCAAAAGTGGATTTTTGGAATAACATGTCAAGTTCTGAAATAAATCAAAGCCATGAGTTGAGAAATAAATAGTCTTTAATTGAGATAACAGGGTAGCAAGGGGATGTCTCATAAGTGCACAGCACAATGGATTTCCTAAGCAAGGGACTCATGAAAGGTTCTTTATAAACTTTTAGAAGGGCAGGGGGAGCAGGTAGTATTAGATAGCAAGAACTAGTCATGAGACCCCAGTAGCAAGGAGAGCCACTTCTTTTTGGCTGTTTTGCCCTTCATGCTGAGAATCCTAACAGAAGGGTGTAAGGACATTAGCAGTGAGATCCAGCTTAAGCTAGGCTCCTTTACAACACACTTGCACAACTTGACAGTAGTTAGGGGCCAAAATTAAAACAGGCTAAACTTCTTTGGGCTCAGATAGGTTAGACTGGAGAAAGAGTGAGGGGTGGTTGGTTGCCTTGGGTAGAGTAACAAACAGGAGAGTATGTACAGTGGCAATCCTACATTTTTTGAGGGCTGCTGGAAATCCTTGGGGGGGGGGGCGGCTTCTTGTGCAGGCCTGCTTTACTAGGTAAAATAGCTGGGGGGACTTAGGGAGTGGTTCAGCTCAGCCTAATCCAGGTAAATATTGTAAGAGTAGGAATACAAAGACATTGCTGAAATTTTGACATTACCGGGATCATTGAAGGAGTGGCAAGTAACATTTGGTATTAACAATTTTCTGTCATTATACTAAGTTATATTAACAATTTTCTGTCAAGCATAATTGACTCCATTTTGTGCTATATTTGTGGTTATTATATAAATGTACTGCTCTTATAGAATGACTCCTTCGGCATCTCCTTTCCCCTATTACAATCACAATTATAAAAGAACTCAGGAGTTTGAATGTTGTTGTTATTTAGGTCATGTCTTCCTGAGCCCATTTGGGGTTTTCTTAGCAAAGACTGGAGTGGTTTGCCGTTTTCTTCTCCAGCTCATTTTACAGATAAGGAACCGAGGCTAACAGTGGTTAAGTGACTCGTCCAGCTAGTGAGTGTCTCAGGTGGCCCGAGATCTGAACTCAGGAAGCGTCTTCCTGGACTCCGCCCTGCACTCTATCTATGGGCCCCCTACTGGCTCAAGGACTTTGAATAGTTCCTAGAAACTCATACACTTCTCTTTATTCTATTTAATAAGGCACAGCAGTAAGCTTAACAAATGTTAATTAACTGACTCATAAAGAAGTTGTTCTTTTCTTTTGTCTGTGTAAATGTCTATGCTAACGTAACAATTCAAGCTTCCTTTTTATTTTTCTAAAGTACTTCTTCGCAGTCTAAGTGACCTGTCTGCTCAGTGGAGAGACAATGTGCGCGCGTGTGCGTGTGTGTGTGTGTGTGTGTGTGTGTGTCTGAGATCTGTGGAATATTGAGACACGTGTCCATTACCTGCTAATGGTGCATCATGCTCTTGAATGGATAAATAAACTTCTGTGTCCTTAACTGTCTAAAACCTGTGCTGACTTTTGTGGAGTGGCTAGCAAAGACCCTGAAAATTCTTGCAACATTGGTAATTTTATTGGTCAGAGTTAAGTCCTTCAAAGTTGTTTTTCTTTATATTGTTATTGCAAAAATTGTTCTCCTGGTTTTCTAACAGCTTTACTCTGCTTCAGTTCATGCAAGTCTTCCAAGGTTTTTCTGAAACCATCCCCTATGTCTTTTCTTGCAGCATAATAGTATTCATCACATTTATATACCATAATTTGTTTAGCCATTCCCTAATTAAAGGGAACGAACCTAGTTTCTAATTCTTCACCACCACAGGAAGAACTAATATAAATTTTTTTTTTGTATATGTGGATCCTTTTTTCTCTTTCTTTGATCTCTTTGGAGTATAGGCATAGTAGTAGTATCACTAAAGCATAGTTTAGAATCTTCCAAATTGCTTTCCAGAATGGCTAAACCAATTCAAACAGCAATATTAATATTCCTGTTTTCTCATGTCAACCTGAAAGTTGGTTAAAAAGACAACAAGCTAGGTGATAAGTAAATCCGCATTGTTTATTCCCCTAAATTAGTGACATGTATATGTGATAAGGTCTAGAGGTTTAGGGGTGCTGGGACTCCAAGATCACGACACCAAGTCTCTGCTTGAATGAATTCAACCCAAATCTTCTTTCAGCGAGACAAACAGTTTATTAAGCAATAAACCATACAGGCCAAACTCTTAAGGAATCTGAACATTAGTGACACCCATAGGGACAAGAGGGCGTGAGAAAGTCTCAGCTTTTAAATGGGGTCCAGGGTGGATCTTATATACACTCTGGGTGACCATAGGAGGGGCTGGGAAAAGGCTCTTGGTGACTTAGGGAGAATTCTGATTGGAATCTCTGAGAGATTGACTAGACAATGGGAATAGGTAATGAAGGGAACTGGAAGGAAGAAGTTTGAAAGGCATCTGAATAAGATCAAAAGGTGGGGCTAGGGCTTTCAAAGGAAGATAAGGAGAGTTGATAAGGAAAAGCCATTAAGTGGAATATAGGTAGCCATTTGAGACCAGAGTGAGGTATAAAAAAAAAGTTTAAGGGTTTTCTGGGGCCCAAAGACAAATGGGATCCAAATTTTTTTTGAGGCAAGGGGCAAAGGTCTCAGCTTAGGCCCATACCCCATCACATGGAGCCAGAGCTTTAACTCCGACTGACTCAAGCAATTTTAGGAGGACATTTAAACCCTGACTCAGGATGTCTGTGTTACTCAAAAAAATATAGCCTTTTTAACATATAGCATGGAAAAGGAAGTTTCTTAGTTGAACAGGTTGCAAATACAATAAAATAGGAGAGTATTGAAGTGTCAATTGAAATTATAAATCCAGGATATCTGTGTTTCCCCTACATAACATATGTCCATAGGATACCAAGATATGAAAAGTCTTACTATTCAAGAGAGTGTCTGGTCCCAGGTATCCTGTCCTTAGTGATCACAAACAGGAAGAATGCTGGTCAGCTCCAGCTGGTCCTGCAATTGCAGACACAGGAAGGGGTATTTTTAGTTCACTCAGAGAGAAGAGATTAATTCAGGTTTTTTGCCCTTATTGGGGTTCAGTTGATCTTAAATGATTATCATCCACAGCTTCCAATCTTTAACATTTTCCTTTTTTGACAACTTTGCCAATCTAATGGGTGTGAGGTGGAGGGCATAGTTTCAATTTGCTCTCCAGAATGGCTGGATCAGTTCACAACTGTACCAACAATGTATTAGTGTCCATTCAAAATGAGGGCCATCAGAGATTAAAGAGATTAAAAAAATTTTTAAAAAGATTTTAAAAACCAAATAAGAGTGATAAAGGATAAATTAGGAAAATAAATTAATGCTGTGCAAGAAAATTATAAAAAGAGAATTAACAGCTTGATAAAAGGTACAAACATTACTGAAGGAAGTAACTTACTAAAAATCAGAATTGGCCAAATTTTGGTAAAAGAGACACAAAAATCTGAAGAAAATAATTCCTTATTTTCTTTTTCTTGCCTTAGTAGTGGTAATAATGGACATCTTTGTTTTACCCTGATCTCACAAGAAAAAACTCTAATTTTCTTCATTACATGTAATGTTTGGTTTTGGACATAGAAAAATACCCCATACTATATTAAAGAATGGTTAATTTATTCCTGTGATTTCTAAAGTTTTAAATAGAAGTGAGTAGTAGATTTTGTCAAAAGCCCTTCCAGCATCTATTGATATAATCATGTGGTTTTTTATTATTTATGTTATATCATGGTTTGTTATAATCTTCCTTACAATGAACTAACCTGGTGTAGATCCAACTTGGACATAAGCATAAAATCTTTATAATATGTTGTTGTAGCCTTCTTGTTAGTATTTAATTAAAAAACTTTTTTTGCATCAGTGTTCATCATCTTAGTCTATAGTTTTCATTCTCTGCTTTGTCTCTACCTTATTTAGGTGTCAAGACTGTATTTATATGATAGAAAGAGATTTTGGGAGGGTACCACCTTTTCTCATGTTTGCAAACAGATAATGTAGTATTTGAATTAACTTTTTTTTGAATACTGGATATAATTCACTTATAATCCACCTGGCCGTGGAGTTTTTTCTTTGAGTTCATTTAAGACTTTTTCAATTTCTTTTTCTGACATTGAGTTATTTAAGTATTCATAAGAATTCATCTATTTACTCTAAATTATCAGTTTTGTTAGCAAGTACTTGGGAAAAATATTTTCTAATAATTTCTTTTATTTCTTCTTCAGTAGTTTTAAGTTCTTATTTTCTCATGGATTCATTGACTTGTATTTGGTCCATTCTAATTTTCAAGGAATCTGTTGCTTGGATAAGGTTTTATATCACTTGTGCAAGCTGTTAATTCTCTTTCTAATTCTTTCTTCCATCTCTCATTTTCCCCCCCAATTTTCTTCACCTACTACTGTCATTTTTCCCCAATTACTTCCTCTACTGTTCTCATTTCATTTGTAAAATCACTTTTAGCTTTTTTTTTTTAAAACTCTTGCTTCTTGTCTTCCAGGAATGTTTGTTGAATTTGTGCACAACCAGTGTTTTTCTTTGAAGAGTTTCAAAGTCATTCCCGTTTTCTGGTTTTATGTCTCGAGCATCATTGTCCCCAAAGTGGCTCTTAATTTTAAAATGATTCAATTTTTGAAATTAAAATTTTCACACAAATTTTCAAGGCCGCTATTATAGCAAAAAGGAAAACATCTATAAATTATAGATGAGTTTGGGCAAAAGTATTTGTTGCAGTTTTCATATCTACTTTTTCATGGCCTGCACAGTCACTAAAGCTCTAAGAACACTCAATCTATATGGAGATCAGTGCTAGAGCCAAGAAGTCAAATACAAGTTCTTAATTTTCTTTTATCTGTGGATTATTTCTACAATACAAAACTAACTCCTTTTTTTTTCCACTTCAAAAATGAAGAAATGACACTATTCAGTCTCCACTTTATCATTTTGTAAGTCTGATGTTATTGACAGTCATTTTTAGAAAGAAACCAGACCTCGTTGTTTGTTTTCTCATCCTTTTTGAGTTATGTCCTGATGCGTGAAATTTATTCCTTTAAGTGTTTAGGAATTTACTAGCATTATGTTTGTTTGTTTTTTAATCTATACAAAATATGTTTATATACAAATAGACTTAGATAACAAATTAGTTATAAGTGGACTTACTTAACTTAGATCTGATTCAAAAATCTATTTTGTTCAGGGACAGCTCTTGCCATTATGGAATTCTTACAGGAAGGACATCCCTGAAAACGACTTTACCAAGAGATTCCTGAGGGAATGCTAATCATAAGAAATTGTATACAATACCTTTCTTCAGTGTTTTTAAAGGACCACCAGGTGTCAGCATAAGCTAAGCACAGCATGGCATACAAGCCAATGGGTTTATAAAATTGTTTCTCTTGTCCCTTAGTATAAAATTTAACAGAAATCTAAATTATGAGTATTCCTATCTATGTCTAAGGAATATAAGCCCTGATTTTAGAACTTTTTAAAAACTGCTTATGTCTTTTCATCGTGTTTGCTCAGATATAAAACTTTCTTTTTTTTTTGTTTTACACTGTGTATTTTTTTTTTCTGGTAGAACTGTTAATTTGTTACTTGGAATTTCCCATGAGGGTCTTATTCTGAGGTTATTGGTTGCTTGTGTTATGGTGGGATTCCAAACCAGCCACAATTAATATAATCACAGAAGGCCCAATTACCCGAGTCGACTCATCAGTTTAAAGTGTAAATCAGGTTTGAGTAAGTCCTTAAACAGTTTGAGAGGATGATAGTACTTTCATCCTGTGAAGACGGAAGATGAAGCCACACAAAAACATTTTGTGACTGGTCAAAACAATAAGACATTCTTCTGGGCCAGTGTCTAAAAATAGCAGTCAGTTAAGTGGTGAGACTGAATCTGGTGGTGGAAGAGTTCTAGTTTAGAAGATTCTAGCTCAAGTCTTGGACCCTAGGTCCTGGGAGGGAATCATTAATCACACACAGAGAAGAACCTACTGTCCTTGCTAGACAGTCTTTGTAAAATTCTTTTGCCATAAAGCTAATTGTCTAGCTGATTGTTAGAGGGAAGGACATTGGTGGGAAATTGTAAGCAACGTTATTAGATGTTACAAGAAACCTAGCCTGTGGTGAGAGCAATTTCCTAAAGCCCCATTCCATTTAGGTGGGCCTAGTTTTTCCTTAAAAGATATGGAAACAGTCCTCAAAATTTAATTGCCTCACAAAACTAAGGCTGTTGCTGTGGTTTTCTGAGCTCCAGACCCAACTTGATGCCACAGGCAATACAGAAGCAAGGGAACTGAGCTTAGATGTATTAACTTAACATCCCACATGAATATCCTTGTTGAATATTCCTCTTTTATAGCTAAATGGATCTCCTTTTGTTAAGTCAGAGCATCTGTAAATATTTTATTTTGTTCCAGTATCAAACCTGATGGCCTGGTCAGCCCTGGGTTTCTATTCTGTCTATCCCTAGAATTCTGAGACCCAGTTGGAGACCCAGTCCAACAATGTGAATGGGAGCTGGGGAAGAAGCCATCAAAGGGAGTCTACACTTGTATTAGCAAAAAAAAAAAAATTTGTTGCTCATTTCTGATTTCATGTAACCAGTAAACTCTGAATATCATTCTCTGTAGTCAAAGCAGAAACAAAACCTAATAATGTATCATATAGTACAAACTCCTTATACCATGTAGATGTCCACATGTCCTTGAGTAACCAGGAAATCAACTGGTACTTTTGTCAAACATACTAAAATACATATATGCATATATAGATAGATAGATAGACAGATAGTTAGATAGATAGATAGATAGTAAGACTTAATTCTTAATAGAAAATCAGTTTCTGAGAGAGACAACTCAATTTGCTTTTTAAATCAAATATAACTAAGTAATCATTTAGTCACATAGCCATATATAACTAAAAGTTACCAAAGGCATATAATTTTATTTGAATAATTACATACATAGTATATGTAGTACTGAATATATGGAATATATTTCATAACTATACATTTTCCAAAGCTATTTTACAAAAAAATCTCTGTCAATAATTCTCTTTAAGGATATTGAACTCTTTGTGGGAAGTGACAAAAGTTTGCTGTTTTTGTATTAGGACTTTAATTTCTCAGGACCAGGCTGAAACAGATATCACTGCTCAACAAGAATAAGATGAAAAACCATCATTTTAATGGGTAACTAATTTTACTTATTTTACATATTTGTTTCTGATTATACCATATAAATGTCAGTTATTTAAGTTACTACTAAATTAGCTAAAACATTTTTTAAAATGTGACCAACTGGACTTGGTGGTCTCCTTTCATTTTCAAATAGAAAAACTTTGCTTTCTGCTTGTAAAGCATTACAGATCAAGAACTTTTCCAACAAAGAAAGTGTATCATTACAGATATTTCTTAGTTTGGTCTCAATTTTCTCTCTGTATTCTTGGATTATCTGCTGGTTTTTCCCCCAGCATTTTCTGTCTTTTGTTCGATACTTGAAATGACTCTCCAAGATGACCTTTGGGCCCCGATGACATTTTAATAAGCAACAGAGAGAAAGAAGATTCTTCTCCTTAGTGGATAATTCTGCTTCTTGCTTTGTTACAGACTTGATGCAGGCTGCCATGTCATGATAGCTCTCAAACTGCTCAGCCAATTTGACCTTCTGCCTCAGCTCATTTTTATCCATGACTGAATAGTCTGTGCCAGCAGTGAGTAGCAGCAGCAGATGGACATGGGGGTTCAGCAATCTCTGGGTGGCAGCAGTGGCCCACAATTTAGTGATTTTGAAGGGATAGTTTGAAATTCTTTCCAGAATGGTCAGACCAAGTCACAGTTTTACGAATAATGCATTGGTGTGTCTGTTCTCCCGCAACATTCCTCCTTGTCTACAACCCCTATCTATACACGGTGGTCAATTTCCTTTTTTTTTTTCTTTCATCTTTTCCAGTTTGGGGAAATTGAACCTCATAGTTGTTTAATTTGCTTTTCTCTATTTTTACTGACTTTGAACTTTTTTTTTAAATATGGATGTTGGTAGCTTACTTTTCTTCTTTTGAAAACCGCCTGTTCATATGTATTGACTTTTTCTCTATTAGGGAATGGTCCTTGTTCTTATATATCTCAGTTCTCTAGATATCCTGGATATCAGATTTATATTATAGAAACTTGCTGCAAAGTCTTGTTTTCCTCAGGAAACTCTTTCACTTCTGTTTTCAGCTATATAGATTTTGGGCAAAAGCTTTTCAACTTCATAAAATCAAAATTGTATATTACTACCATGTTACATTTGAGATCTGGTACTAACTAGTTTTCTTCCTTTGTACTTTTTTTGAGGATTTTTGTGCTTGAGTTTTTTGACATTTTTTTCCCCCCTCCAAATGAATTTTGTTATTGTTTCTAGCTCTATAAAGTAATTTTTCAGTAGTTTGATTGGTATGGAGCTGAATAAGTAAATTAATGATGGTAATATTACTGTTTTTATTATATTGTAGTGGCCCGTTCATGAGGAGCTAATGTCCCTTCTGTCTTTATAATCAAAAGAATGTTTTGTGTTGTATTCATGTAATTCATGTGTGTGTTTCATAGTTCTCTTGAATGGAATTTGTGTTTCTGTTTCTTTTTGCAGAGTAATACATAAAAATACAAAAAAGGCTGATAATAATCATTTGTTTTATATCTTGATACTTTGCTGACATCATCTAGCAACATTTTATCTCTTAGCCAAATGCAGAGGCAGTGAAGTTGTTTCAGTTAATTTTTAGTTGACTCTAGTAGTCCTTAAATAGACCATCTTATCTTCAAAAAGTAATGCTATTATTTCCTATTTGCTTAATGCATCAATTTTTTTTTTCTTATTCCCATAACAAGTATTTCTGGAACTAAATCAAGTAACAGCAGTGAAAATAGAAAGCCTTGCTTTCATCCTGATTTTACTGGAAAGTCAGACAGCATCAATTAAGTGCTTACAATGTGCCAGCCACTATGGGGATACTAATAAAAACAAAGAAGGCTCTTGCCTTCAAGGAGCACACATCCTAATGGGGGAAGACAACACATGAAAGGGAACAGAAAAGTAGGGGAGGAGTGTAGGGGAGGAGGAAGGCAAAGAAGATACCTATGCTTATTGGCAAAGTCAGGAGAATCAGAAGTATAGAGGGGAGGAGAATGAAAAGCCAAGGTCTGTCCCCAAAGTTGAGGCCCTGAAAGGAATTTACCAATGGGAGAGGGGGGCTGGTATGGCAGAAGAATGTTCCAAGGTGAAAAGATCTCAGGCACCAAGGGAAGTCCCAGGGTTAGAAGGTGCTGAATCATGGTGGGGAAGTCTGGGGGAGTCACAGACATGACTTATTTTTCTTACTAGCTTATAATTCTAGGGAGAGAGGGAAGGGGAGGGATTGATGGAAGGAAGGAGAGACAAAGGGAAGGTGGGAGGAAGGAGGTAGGAAAAGAGGGGAAAAGCGCTATTTTGATTGATACCTTGATCCTCAAGTGCTTTTCTACCTTCACTTATCTTTGAAGGAATTTGGGTTAGCATAGATTCCATTTACCTCAGCCTTCTGTTTATTGTTAAGTGAACTCTCTTTGAAACATAACTCCCAAATGACTAGAAATTTAACAATAAGTAAGGATCTCTTTCTGTCTATATGCTTTTTTAGTCTAATGCTTTATCTCCACAGCCAATAACAGTCGAGTTGAGTTGTTCTATTGGAGCAAGCCACCAAGCCTGGGAAGAGGAATTTCAGAGCAGTTAAGATGAGAGCCCAACAGCTGGCTATTTGTATTAGTTTGGAGTGGGCTGACTAATGCCACAAGTAAACACTTCTGAAAAACTGACCACTTTAACCAACGCTTGAAATGTGACTATTAACTCTCTGAAGTACTGCTGGAAACTCAACCTGAAATCTCCTCCCAGGGTAATTAATTCGCAGAGAGAAACGGTGCCCTGAAGCAAGGCACAACATCTGTACATAGGTACAAAAGAGAAGCATGATTATGGGGAGACATTTTATGTATGCATTTAAGCTTCAACGTATTTTTAGCAGCACTTGTAGAACTACTTACTTACTTCTCCCTGAGAAGCTCCTGGTGAATTCAAGGACCTTAGCAGTTTGACTCCTATCTACTTTATTTCAGCTTCTGTCCTGAACAAACCTTCAGATCCACACAAACTGGTCTACTGCCCTCAAAGTTCTTCCATGTTCATTCAAGTACCTTTGAACTTTCTTTCAGGCTCAGATCAAGTAGTCCTTCTGCAACAGACTTTTCCCTTGTGCTTCAGTCACTCCTCAGACCTCGTTTTTACTTCTGTACTGTTGTAACTATAATAATTGGTAACACTCACCTGCCATATTCGGCAAATAATCAGTAAACACTTATTAGGCTCCTGTTATGTGCTAGGCATTGTAATAGCCTACTGTGTGCAAAGGACCACTACAAATTTACGTTATAGAATTGGCATCTCACTGTAAATGTTATACCTCCCTGATTCATTCACTATCCCAATCACCACTGAAGCTTTCCAAATCTTTTCATCCCTCCTCAAGCCTCCTGGGGCTTTCTCCTACTCCAACTTCTCAGCTGAAAACTTCACTTCATATTTCACTGAAAAAACTGAGGCAATTCACCAAAAACTCCTTTTTCTCCTCTGCTCTTCTCATATCATGCCACTGTCTCCACCTTCACCTATGTCTCTTCATCCTCACTCCTGAAGAGGTGGCCCTTCATTTTTTTTTTTGTGAGACAATTGGGGTTAAGTGACTTGCCCAGTCACACAGCCAGTATTTTGTGTCTGAAGCTAGATTTGATCTCAGGTCCTCCTGACTCCAGGGTAGGTATTCTATCCACTGCACCACCTAGCTGCCCTGGCCCTTCACATTTTGAAGGCAAACCCCTCTACCTGCATGAGTGTTCCCATTCCATCCTATCTTTTCAGCAGATTGCCCCCACTGTCATCCTGACTCTCTCACTTATTTTTATTATCTCCCTGTCTATTGGCTGCTTTCTTAATGACTATAAAGATGCTCATGACTCCCTCATCCTAGAAAAGCCCACTCTCAACCTGTCCATCTCCACAATCATTCGATATCTCTTCCATTTTGTAGCCAAACAACTTGAGAAGATTGTCTGCCATCAATGCCTTTGCTTTCTCTCCTCTCATTCTTTTAACTCTCTGCAGTCTGGCTTTTGACCTCTTCGTTCAACTGAAACTGCCCTTTCCAAAGTGATCTCCTAATTGCTGAATCTAATGACCCTTTTTTCAGTCCTCATTCTCCTTGACCTCTCTGCACTTTGACTCTGTCGATCACCCTCTTCTCCTTCATGTTCTCTTCTCTCTAGGATTTTGTGGCACCACTCTCTTCTGGTTCTCCAACACCCCCTTCTCCACTCTGACACTACCAACCACGTTGGTTCAGGCCCTCATCACCTCATGTCTGGACTATTGCAGTAGTTTGCTGGTTGGTCTCTCTGCCTTAAATCTCTTCCTTTCTTAAATCTCTGTCAAATTAATCTTCTTAAAGCACAGATCTGACCATACCATTCCTTCATTCAGTAAATTCCATTGGTTTCTTATTACTGCCAGGATCAAATATAAAATCTTGTTTGGCATTCAAAGCCCTTCACCTGGCCCCCTTCTACCTCTGTAAGATTCTTACACTTTAATCATCTCCTCTCCTCCCCTCCCCCAACCCCATACTCTGGCCTTCTTGCTATTCCTTTTTTTTTTTTAAATTTAAATTGATGGAAACATTTATTGAGCACCGATTACGTGCAGGACGCTGTTGGCACCATGATAGGGAGATACAAATATGTGTAAGACATAAGAGAGCAGTATGTAGTAATGGTTTTTAAAGAATTTGAATAGTTTTCAAGATAGTTTTAAATGATTTAACAGGTAGTTCTTCCAGTTTCATACAGTTTGTCAATCATGGCTTTAGACTTTAAAAAGTATTTATTGTGTCTGCTTTAAGAAAACACGCCAGCAAAAAAAAAAAAAAGGGCTTTAAAGATAAGATTCATGGATTCTTGATTTGTCACGGGAGTGTTTGTTTAAAAAAAAAAGAATAAAACTAAAAACCAATTGGTTTTCAGTAATCCTTAAAACAACAAAACTTTCCCTTTTTAAAAAAGGAAATTATTTTGCTTTTTTCTGACTTTCAGAAATTTATCCCTTTACTAGAGTTTAGTTT